ATTTAAAGAAGACCGGAAAGAAGACAGAAGCTCCTGAGGAAGTGGGATCGATGAAACGCATAGAGCCCTATGAAGAACCCTGTTATTTGGTATAAGCAGTCTTTTTTAACATGTGCACTTTATATTTTTGTGGTATGTGTTTTATAATTACATGTTGTGAAGGAGTACTGGGTGTTAGCTGCTGATTACAGCGGCGTGTTAAGCACCTTGCACTTTCCCTTACTATAGTGTCTTTTGCACTTTAGCATATGCACTTTATATCAGTACATCGTGTGTCATGTTTTATTAAATCTCCTATCCTTAAGATTTTTTTTTTTTTACTTATATATTGGGTTATTTGCACATGTTTTGTGCTATTGCCTAATTTCTCATCCAATTATTAATAAATTGTATGTTATCTTTTTATTGATTGTTTCTTCTTTTTTTCCTCTCTATTTTCAATGAAAAAAATCCCATAATTATTGTCAACTGAAGTGACTGTGGCGCCCTGTTATCTGATATTGACTTGATCTTATTCAGTTTTGGTTTTATGGATGAGCAGGATGCCCCACCAGTCCCTGGCCTCTTCACAATCCAGTTGGCTGCACCCCGAGGTCCGATCATGACCAGATACTGTCCCTGGACCACCATCCTGCTTTTGGTGGCAACTATGCCTTTTGCCCACGGAAGCCATGCTGTGATGAATTACCCCGGTGGACCTATCGTTCAGGTATGTAGAAGCAGGCGCGGGACTCTGGCATCTGAACACTCCTCCACTTCCACAGTACAGGGCAGGCCTTACCCTGTGCCATTTATCTGTAGACCAGAGTGCTGTGAGAAAGCATGCAGTTGAGCAAGATCTCCCAGATTCTTGCACATACCTTGTTAGTTTTGTTTCTCATACACATACCTAATTAAGCTGTCAGGCCCTGCACACAAGTGTTTGTTTGGTTTTTTAACCCTTGTAGTGACATTCCGTATATAAGACAACCCCCAATTTTAGATTTAAAAAACCCCCGATATATTAGAAGTGTTGGTACCTAATTGAGAATATATTTTAAAATATTTTGAATAAATTGTGAAGATGTGTGTTTTGAAATCTGCTAAATGAATAATATGGCATGTGTATGGGTTATAAACTTTGGAATTGAGTCATGGTAAATTTACTATGGATTATATCCCAAACATGCCAGGGTTAGACTATTTGCCATATTGGTCTTTGTACAAATGAACAATTCCAGGAAATAGGAATAAATTAAAGGGACACTACAGTTGCCAGAACAACTACAGCTTATTGCAGGCTTCAGACTTTTTCAGAGAAAATGCAGTGTTTACAATATAGCCTTGTGACAACTCCACTGGCCACTCCTCAGATGGCTGCTTGGGGTGCTTCCTGTGTCACACTGTGCAGCACTGCCATTCAGTGTCTCCACCCTCTGCATGGAGACACATTGAACTTTCCTCATAGAGATGCATTGAATTAATTCATCTCTATGAGGAGAAGCGGATTGGCCTGTACTGTGTTTGACTTGTGCTAGGTCTGCCCTTGATCTGCCTCCTTGACAGTCTCAGCCAATCCTATGGTAAAGCATTGTGATTGGTTCAGAGAATAACTTCTAATGATGTCAGCCAAACAGGCAGATCAGGGGCAGAGCCAGCAGCAGCAGACTTGAATGCAAGTAAGACTGATAAAAGACAAAAAAAAAAAAGTATTGAAAGCACAGGAAAAAGAGAAAGAAGGGTGCTTAAAATACAAGAATAGGTAAGCCCTAAAATGGAGGGAGTAAGAGATACTTTTTATATGTAAAATAAAAAGTAGATAAAACCACAATTGTCAAATATCAAATAAATGGCTCTAAAACTGGAAGGAGGGACACCAATCCTCCCTAGGAAAACAGGTATATCGATATCTCTTATAAAAATAAGATGAAAGGTATCCAGGAGCTAAAATTAATCATGCTAAAATATATATCAAATAAAATCACAAATATAAATTAATTCAAGTTCATATAGACTCACATGCATTATATAGTAAGTTCAGAATGAGTCCAAGTATAAAATCCAATTAATGAAAAGTTATATAAGTCCAATAGTCCACAAAATGTAGCAAAAGGGTAATCACACTGAGCTGTGTATATAGATATTACAGAGTCATGGGACCCTATTGCCAATACAATATAATTCACTGACTATCAGTGAATATGAAAAAAGGAGAAAAAGTACAAAAAAGGGCAAAACAAACTATATAGGAAAACGCAACACAGTACTAAAAGCAGCCGCTTGCTACCAAACATGAAAATAGAAGAGAAAAAAAATGGGGAAATGCTTCTTAAAAATCCATAAGTCTTTAATGAAAATTCAGTAGAGTAAAATTAATTCATAAACACAATTACTTGAATAAAATAAACAGTACCAACAGAAGCTCAAGATGTTCTGCATGGGTACCGCATACACAGTTCTCCTGGTGGATAGGATATGTGGGAGCTGCAGTCCTCGTTGTGTGTGGTCTGTCGCTGAGTTCGGCGTGCGTTCCACACAGCGTTCCACTGAAGCATCACTCCCATGTATGGTTCCACCATTGTCAGAGAAGAATGATCCTCAATGTCTCTTTGTGTGAAGATCTAGGTCGGCTCGTGCATAGTACTGTATAGCATTGCTGTGGTAACGTTGTTCCACTGGATAGTGGATCTTAATCGTGAATAGCACAAGTCTATGTGCTTTGCCTTACACATTTCATGAGGAAAGCCTTCATCAGAGACTTCAATAGCTGACAGATACATTTCAAGATACTTCTATATCTAGTTAGACACAAAACAGCTGGTACAAATCACATTGTATCAAATAGCAGTCGTATTACATAACTAACTACTTAGATTGTGGATATTTTAGGAAGCATTAGTAAGAATGGAAACTAGACCAAAAAAAGTAAAGAATAAAGAATGATAATAAAATAGAAACTGAGAATGAGAATGAAAATAAAGATAGTAGATAATATATAGTACATAATAATTAAAAAATGAAGTTAGTGCCAAGCGAAAAAAAAACAGATTAGAAATACAAATAAAGAAACATAGTATCAACAATACAATAGGATAAATCTGAAGAGCAAGAGAAAATTAAGAATGAAAAATAATGAATAGAGGGGTGAAAGAATAAGTATAATACAATGTACTGGCAACTAAATAACCACACGTTAAAATGGTAGATTGTCAGAGAAGTGTGGCAAAAAAAGAATTGTGTAAATATAGAGACATGACTATGCAATAAGGTGAAACGAAATAATAATAAAAAAAATAAGTCAAATAAAAAAACAAATAAATAGAAAATAAAAATATAGATTCAAAGATTTCTATTTAGTCTAGATTTTTGTCTTGATTTCCCCCTCTCCAATGCACATTGACTTTTTAAATAGGTAAAAACTGTAAATCACCTGGATCTCTTCCATGAACATCATTAAAATATTTTGACAGATTATGTGTAGGCAATCCTTTTTTAATATTTCTTATATGTTCTGACACTCTTATTTTTAAGAACCTTTTTGTTCTTCCTACATATTGTTTTGGACAGGGGCATGTAAGTAAATAGATTACCCTCTGTTTTGTTACAGTCCATATTAGATTTTACTCTGTTATTTTTCTTGTTGTCCAATGAGAGAAAATTATCTTGAATGTAATCGAAATTAGGATTATTCCTACAACCTATGGATTTCTTGAACCTTGTGAAGTCTTTAATAGGCATTCTGTGGTGTCATGAAGATGGTTTCTAGAGTTATCATAGGTGCCAGCATAAGTTTTAAATTGGAAGCTTGGGAAAATATAATGTTTGTTGGTCATCTAAAAATTGATTAAGCATATGGTCACTCTTTAGTATATCGCAATGTTTGGCTACCACCTTTCTGATATTTTAGGTTTGACTATGTAACTATGTAACTATGTAACTATGATTGCTGTATTTTACTATGAAGGCCAGAAGGCCAGAGCTCTTTTGTTCTTCTGGTTGTATTCTCTTATTATAGAGGGCAGGGGCGGACTGACCACTCGGGCATATCGGTCATGGACCGAGGGCCCGAGGCAGTCAGGGGCCCGGCAGCACAGCCTTGCTCCAGCTGGAGAGATCAGAGATCTCTCCAACTGGAACGGCAAAATTAAAAAAAATAAAACTATTTCATTTATAGGTTGTGGGGCCCCTGATGCAGCACGGGGCCCCACAACCTACCGCCCTGTAAATCACCCCTCCCCCCCATGAGACCTGGCAGCTTCAGCCACTCTCTGCCAGGTCTCCTTCTCCCAGTCCCGCGGTGCTCTGTGTGATGGGAGAGGGACAGGAAGTGACATCACTTCCTGTTTACTCCTCTCACACAGAGCCCAGCGAGGGGAAGGAGCAGCAGCCAGGGAGAGCAGAGGAAGCACAGGTAGGCTCTAATCACCCCCCTCCCCCGTCCTAATCACCCCCCTGTCACTAGTCACCCCCCCCCTGTCACTAGTCACCCCCCACTGTTACTAGTCACCCCTGTCACTAGTCACCCCCTGTCACTAGTCACCCCCTGTCACTGAGTCACCCCCTGTTACTAGTCATCCCCACACACTATTTACTAGTCACCCCGTCACTAGTCACCCCCACTGTTTACTGGTCCACCCCACTGTTACTAGTCCACCCCACCGTCACTGAGTCACTACCGTCACTAGTCACCCCTGTCACTAGTCACTTGTCACTAGTCACCCCCCTCACAGTCACTAGTCACCCTCCCTCACAGTCACTAGTCACCCCCCCTCACTGTCACTAGTCACCCCTCCTCACTGTCACTAGTCACCCCTTCCCTCACTCTGTCACTAGTCACCCCCTCACTCAAATGACAGAGTGAGGGAGGGTGTGACTAGTGACAGAGAGAGGGAGGGTGTGACTAGTGACAGTCACCCCCTCCCTCACACTGTCACTAGTCACCCCTTCCTTCCCTCACTCTGCCACTAGTCACCCCTTCCCTCACTCTGCCACTAGTCACCCCATCACTCTAGTGACAGAGTGAGTGAGGGTGTGACTAGTGACAGGCAGGGAAGGGGTGACTAGTGACAGAGGGAGGGGTGACTAGGGACAGAGTGAGGGAGGTGGTGACTAGTGACAGTCACCACCTCCCTCACTCTGTCACTAGTCACCACCTCCCTCCGTCACTGTGTCACCCCCTCCCTCACTGTCACCAGTCATCCCCTTACTCTGTCACTAGTCACCCCTCCCTCACTCTGCCACTAGTCACCCCTTCCCTCACTCCCTCACTCTGTCACCTGTCACCCCCTCACTCTGTCACTAGTCACCCCCTCACTCTAGTGACAGAGAGAGGGAGGGTGTGACTAGTGACAGTGAGTAAGGGTGTGACTAGTGAGTAAGGGTGTGACTAGTGACAGAGAGAGGGAGGGTGTGACTAGTGAGAGTGAGGGAGGTGGTGATTAGTGACAGAGGGAGGAATGGGGTGACTATCACTGTGTCACCCCCTTCCTCACTCTGTCACTAGTCACCCACTCCCTCCCTCACTCGGTCACTAGTCACTCTCTCACTCTGTCACCAGTCATTCCCTCACTCTGTCACCAGTCATCCCTTCCTTCCCTCACTCTGCCACTAGTCATCCCTTCCCTCACTCTGTCACCAGTCATCCCCTCACTCTATCACCAGTCACCCCTTCCTTCCTTCACAGTGACAGAGTTAGGGAGGGAGTGACTAGTGACAGTGAGAGGGATGGGGTGACTAGTGACAGAGTGTGGAAGAGGGTGACTAGGGACAGGGGGTGAGTAATGACAGAGTGAGGGAGGGGGTGACTAGTGACAGTGAGGGAGCGGGTGACAGTGACAGAGTTAGGGAGGGAGTGACTAGTGACAGTCACTCCCTCCCTCTGTCACTAGTCACTCCCTCCCTCTGTCACTAGTCACTCCCTCCCTCTGTCACTAGTCACTCCCTCCCTCTGTCACCAGTCATCCCCTCACTCTGTCACCAGTCACCCCTTCCCTCCCTCACTCTGCCACTAGTCACCCATTCCCTAACTCTGTCACTAGTCACCCCCTCTCCCTCCCTATGTCACTAGTCACCCCCACTTAACTGTGTCTCCCCCTCACTCTGCCACCACTCAACCCCTCCCTCCCTCACTCTGCCACCAGGTACCCCCTCACTCTGCCACCTGTCACAACCTCCCACACTCTTCCACCTGTCACCTTCTCCCTCACACACTGTCACCTGTCACATATGCATTCACACAGACACTATATACAAAAAAGCACATGTAGTAATCCAGACATGCACAAGTGCATTCACACAGACTCAAATACAAACATGCATTGATACACAGGTCTTCACAATATACACATCCAAAGGAATGCCGTATTATGAGTTATATTTAACATTTATTTAATGCACATATATTTGGCCTTCAAAGGGCCTGGGATCTAATTTTGCCCGGGGGCCCCAAATGCTCTCAGTCCGCCCCTGATAGAGGGTATCTTCTTTTGGTATAGATTTGGCTTTCTTCATTGCTTGTTGCAACAGCGGTTCTAAATATCTTTCTATTGTGAATCTCTGCTTCATTTCTTGCATTTGAGTTTGACAGGTTTCCAATTCTGAACAGTTCTTCCTTATTCTTCTAAATTATCCATATGGTATATTTTCAAGCCATGTGCGTTTATGATAACTGCTAAAAGGTATAAAACTATTACAATCTACATTCTTCTTAAAAGCTTTTGTGTGGATTTTCCCATTTATAATATATATTTCAAGATCTAAACATTCGATGTGACTTGCAAAGTGGTAAAATGTGAATTGTAAATTGTATGGATTATTATTAAGCTACAGTTTAAAACGTTCAAGTGATTCTATACTTCCCTACCAGATAAAAAAGCTATTGTCAATATATCTCTGCCATAGAAACAGTTTTGCACCAAGGGGGCAGTGGTTCAAAATAAATTTGTCCTCCTACTTGCCCATAAACAAGTTGGCATAGCTTGGCGCAAAACATTTTCCCATGGCATTCCCTTCAAGTTGTAAATAAAAGTTATCATCCAACCAAAAATTATTGTGACTTAAAATAAATGCTACACACTGTATTAAAAAATCAATCTGATCATTCTTAAGTTCAGAATAAGTGGCCAATGAATACTGTATCGCTTTGCATTCCTGGAGGTGTTCTATCACTGTATATAGTGAAGTGACATCTGCTGTCACCAAGATCATGTCCTCTTCCCAGTTGATGTCTGCTAATAGGCTGAGGATCTGAGTTGAATCTTTAAGATATGATTTTAAGATGGTGAACCAGGTTTTGTAGATATTGATCCACATATTCTGATAAGTTAGAGGTGAGAGAGCCTATCCCTGATATGATCGGCCTACCAGGGAGATTATGGAGTCTTTTATGTATCTTCGGTAGGTGGTAAAAGATAGGGATCCTAGGGTGCGAAACAACAAGTATTTATATTCCCTATCACTTAAAATTCTTCTATCCTTGGCGTAATCTAGTCATTCATTTAGTTTGGCAATAAATGATATGGTAGGATCCTCATCCATCTTCTGGTAGGTGGATATATCTTCAAGTAATCTTATGTTTTCTTTTTTATAATCTTCCGTATTTAGAATGACCAATCCGATATCGGCTGATTTAATGGTTATATTGTCTTCCTTCGTTAGTTTTTTTTTTGGGGGGGGGGATTGTCTCTCTCTAGAAGTCAAATTATTATTCTTCAGTTGTTTATTATTGTTCAGTCTCCTAAAGTCAGTCTCCACCATTATTTCAAAAACTCTGATTGGTTCACTCTTAACATTTTGTGGATAAAAAGTGGAGGTAGGATGTAGATCAGTGTGTTCATAACCTTCTGTTGTTATTTGAGTACTTAAAGTCTTGTCCATAACAAATTTTTTAATAGTAATTTTGTGGAAAAACTTGTGTAGGTCTATAAATAGAAAAAGCATAGTGTCCCACTAGGGGACTGTGGTGTGTGCAAGGGAGCCTAAATAGGCGGTAACCCTTAATTATAACACAGAGAGAAAGGTCCCTTATAATCTGAGATATTGTGAAGCGTAAATTAAAATGAATACGTTTTATTGTTTAATTCTCTAAAAAAGGAGGGAACATATAACATATACTCATAACACAAGAGCTCTAAAAGGATGTGAGCTCTATAATATGAATCCATAAAGGGAAAGAGATACAGAAATGGAAGAGATATCGTATCGATACTAGAATAGTAAAAGTAGAAAAGGATGCATTCTAATGGAATGATTATACAGAGATAATCTACACTGTAGGGAAGGATGTTGTAGAGGTATATAAACCTGAAATAAACTATCTCACTACATTAAATAAAGACAGTGAACTGTTGGTGCACATATACAGGGAGATTGCCCTATATGAAGTGGTGATACTAGACTGAAATCCCAGAACCAAGATCAGGACACGTCTTTTACATATATGTGCCTCTAAGGGTGAATAATATTATATTACTAATTGCTGCATGCAATGAAGGATCATTTACAAGAGATTTGTTGCTTATATGATTGTAATACTGACACAGTAAATTTATTACATCCCCTAATGATCCTAATAAGTGCTGAAAGAGAACCCTATCGAGCCACTGCTATAGATAGATACACTAAAGCCTGCAATACTAGCGTTAGTGATGAGAAAGCAGGTAAAAAGACACTGTTATAAATTGTTGTTAGTAAAGCTTACAAATAATCATTCACAAATAGAGAGAATAAAAGCCACTGCTAGATTAAACCAAACTTACAATGTATCGCTGGTTGAGGAGGCAGAAAATAATAATTATAAGAAGTCCTGTCTGTAATGACCCCTTGTCTAATAATTGGTCCCATTTGTTCAGCATTTGTTGATGATTATGTTTATATGCTAACTTTTTTAAAAGGCTTAAACCTCAGGGTATGATGTTATTGCTTACATAGAAATCCAAGCTTGCTATATCCCACCAAACATACACTACCCTTTCCATGATTTTGCTAAGTGTATAGATCTTTGCTCTAACATCCTCAGATTGGCTAATTTCATAATTTGTGGGATCAGTATTTAAACAATCATCCCCATTAGTAAGTATAGTGTCCAAAAAAGTTCTTCCAGCAAGTCTGATGGAATCAATATTCCTATTAAAGGACCACTATAGTGCCAGGAAAATATACTTGTTTTTCTGGCACTATAGTGCCCTGAGGGTGCCCCCACCCTCAGGGTCGCCCTTCCGCCCGGCTCTGGGGAGAGGAAAGGGGTTAAACTTACCGTTTTTCCAGCGCCGGGCGGGGAGCTCTCCTCCTCCTCTCCGCCTCCGATCCTCCCATTCGGCTGAATGTGCACGCTTGGCAGGAGCTGCGCGCATTTCGCTGGTCTCATAGGAAAGCATTTATAAAGCTTTCCTATGGACGCTTGCGTGTTCTCTGTGATTTTCACAGTGAGAATCACGCAAGCGCCTCTAGCGGCTGTCAATGAGACAGCCACTAGAGGATTTGGAGGATGGATTAACCCATTTATAAACATAGCAGTTTCTCTGAAACTGCTATGTTTATAAAAAAAATGGGTTAATCCTAGAGGGACCTGGCACCCAGACCACTTCATTAAGCTGAAGTGGTCTGGGTGCCTAGAGTGGTCCTTTAAGTGCCATACTTAGACTCTGAAACATCTGTTGGTGATCTCTTATTTTTTTCTCTTCTATTTTAAAGGACCACTCTAGGCACCCAGACCACTTCAGCTTAATGAAGTGGTCTGGGTGCCAGGTCCAGCTAGGGTTAACCCATTTTTTCATAAACATAGCAGTTTCAGAGAAACTATGTTTATGAATGGGTTAAGCCTTCCCCTATTTCCTCTAGTGGCTGTCTCATTGACAGCCACTAGAGGCGCTTGCGTGCTTCTCACTGTGATTTTCACAGTGAGAGCACGCGCGTGCGCATTCAGCCGACGGGGAGGAGAAGAGGAGGATCGGAGGAGGAGAGCTCTCCGCCCAGAGCCGGGCGGGAGAGGGACCCTGAGGGTGGGGGCACCCTCGGGGCACTATAGTGCCAGGAAAACGAGTATGTTTTCCTGGCACTATAGTGGTCCTTTAATGTTTTGTAGCAAGCAGTTGCTTTGAGTACTGTTGTTTTTTCCTATATAGTTTTGCCCTTTTTCTCCTTATTTTCATATTCATTGGTAGTCAGTGAATTATATTGTATTGGCAATAGGTTCCCATGACTCTGTATTATATATATACACAGCTCAGTGTGATTACCCTTTTTCCACATTTTGTGGACTATTGGACTTGTATAACTTTTCATTAATTGGATTTTATACTTGGACTCATTCTGGACTTACTATATAACTCTCATCTGGGTCTATATGAACTTGAATTAATTTATATTTGTGCTTTTATGTGATATATATTTTAGCATTATTAATTTTATCTCCTGGATACCTTTTCATCTTATTTTTATAAGTGATAGCGATATACTTGAACACAACTAAGATTTTTACTATGGTTTTAACACTATGGTAACCATTGGTGTAATTTAATTAATTTGATGATAGATTAATAATTGCCATATGTTACACCCAACAATCTGATT